TGACCTCTCCAGAGTAGAAATCACAATCACCCCAAGGATAGGAGAGCACTGTTTTGACAAGAGGTAAAGTGAAGCTGATTTTAAATTAGGAAAAGCATGTATATTCTTCTAAAGCCTTAGATGACCCGATCTTGATCTCAAGTTCCCTTAAAGCTACCATTTTGAGGAGGAACATGTCTCGGGAAGATACCGCTCGACAATCAGAAGGACTGGGTCTCCGTAGTAAGTGCAGTTATGCGGACCCAAATAGAGGAGTGAACGCTCAGGAGACTCACGCATACATTCGAGCAATGACATCGGAATGAAGAAGATACGATATAAAAATCTAGATTTTGGAGTAACTATGACGTTCCCTGAGACCACTTCTGAGCAGAAAAGTGAGGAAAATACGCTGCTTCTCTTCGTTTCTTAACCAAAGTAGCTGCCTACTTCAGGAAGGGGTTGTGGTATCATTAGGGGTATACAAGACCAGCTTCCATCTTAGAGACCCCAATTTCGAGTCTCGAAGACTCTCGTTGAACGCCTTTTCCGGAAGCCCTGAGTTACTGGCTGGAAGCTCAAAGAATCTGATCACCTCTTCGATAATAACTTGTCATCGTGGGAGTTGTCCAGCCTCAATCATTGTTGCACAATACTGTGTGATACATAAAAAGATTACATTCTTCTTCAAGTACATACGACCTTGAGACGGACCTAGGGCCAACAAACCACAGATCGCTGAAGGCAGAAGAACTACTGTGCTGGCCGGCACCGAGACGGCTCTTCTGCTTTAGGGGACCGTGACTAGGCTCAAATTCACGACTGGTTGTCATAGTTACCATAGTGATCTTTTAGGCAATGTCTGCTCCTTTGCATTTGGCCTCAGCCTCATTATATCTGGGCTCAATTTGCCATTATCTGGAGTTCGCTTCCTTTCAGATATTGTTTTCAATGGCCCGGCGTGTCTTTCTCTTCATTGATGCATCCATAAGCTGTACAAGCGTGTACTCGGTTGCCAGGGCGAGAGGATTGAAGCCATAGCGTCTCTAGACACGAGGAAAAGGATGGAAGAAAGAGCAATGCCGGACGGGTAAAACAGGCCTTCAGGGGTCATCCCTTTTTCACATTCATCCACACACACACGCATACACATACACACCACGAGACAAGCATGCACACTTGCATATAGGGCTGCACACCTGTCCACCCCACGTGGGATACGTACGAATTTTCGTGTTCTGCCATAGTATACCGTCCGGCTCATTGACAGATGAGGTAAATTTTGGCATAAGAACATGAGCGAAAGACCAGTATGAGCTTGACAACACTGGGGAAACAAGAAAGGTAATTTGTAAAATGAGGTCATCCCTAAATACACCCATATTTTTCACAGGCTGCACGTCCAGTGTGGCAGATCTATAGTGATATACTCGAATCTAAGTTGGGCCATAAATGGAAGGGCCTGGGCGGATGCTTTGCCTTTGCCAGCTTCAGTGTACCTACGGCGAATCGACGGGAGACAAATGATGCCAATTCACCGACAGGCAGTATCTCTCCTGCCAGCAGCACATGACAGGAAGTTGTCAGCAGATGAAAACATCGTCACAAAAGTCTCTGCCTCTACTGAAGAAGAGCTTTACGGCCAAAATAGAGGCTCGAACGGACTGTGATTAATTGGGGAAATGGTCATAATCTGACTCGTGGTTCCCCTCAAATTTGTATGTTAGTGCAGGCACAACCGTGGGATGCCCAATGTGGAGGGACTGATTGGATGGTCTCAGCTCACTTTTTCATTTGGTCAATAGTGGCTAGGGTGTCCAAACAGGGAGTGTGTGAAGTACTATCGAGAGGGGAGGGGTAGTGCGAAACTGTGAAATTTGAGTAGCAAACAAGTTTTTAACTGTTTACAGGCAATAAATAATTTACGGGTTGTTGGAATTCTCCAGAAATTGTAGACCGTCTATTGGAGTTTTCGTCTGTTCTGCCGAGACAGACTTTTTAAAGTAAGAAACCATTCTGCAGCAAGATTCACCAAACTCTAAGTCTTATCCATCTCTCATCTGCAAGCATGCAAGCAAGCCAACCAACATTTTTATTAAAAAACTAAGCTAAGAAGAGTAGGTATGACTGCAACTAGTCAACATTCTTGATTTAGGCCTTTTATGTGAAGACTTACTAAAGCATGAAGTTTCGCTCTAACGGATCTCGGTATAAAATAAATGGTTGGATGCAATACTATCGTTAGAGAGATTCTTCGAAAATCAGATTTACAGCATATTTCACGTTTTAACTATGAAATCAGATTTCTGTTACTAAAGCGCTGGACGACGCTAGGCGAAAATCGAGCATAAGTTAGGGCTGTTAGAAAGTGACAAGGGGATTTGGTAACAGGCATTTTTGCAACCACTTTGGTGTATTTTTAGGCTGGTGTTCGAGGTGTATTCGAGGTGTTAAGATGAATTGTCTTCTCCACTGCATTGGATGGGTTTCCAGGCTGTTCAAACTTTAAATTAAGAGCTTCACAATGGCCTTATGTTTGTGTATCCAGGGCCTTCGTAGATTCTGAAAATGTATGTATTGGTTTTGCTGGTAACGCAATTTTGATTACGGCACATCAGATTACCCTATCAGCTTTTACTAGACTACTCTATTGGAGATACGAAGAGAAACTTGGTTTCGATGAATCTCCTGAGATAACATTGTTAGGGGGAACTTCATTTCG